CTAGGGACCCTAACCCCCCAGAGACTATCTAAAAAGGCGGGAAAATCTGGAGCGACTTAAAAAGGGGGTAGCCCCCGCAGTTTCCAAGTCACGATGCGATAGGGTGTCCCCTTGCGGCCGTGGCGCAAAGTACAAAACAACCCATCGCATAGTTTCTCGGAAACTGTTTGTGCTCTCTCCAGATTTTGCAGCCAAAAACTTACAGCAATGAGACACCAGCCAGAGTAAACCCTCCCAACACACCTTAAAAAATAGAAGACAATTCAGAAAATGCAAACAGTTTTTATTGCAGAATACAAAGCACAAACAGTAGCAGCAGTCAGCAGGAAACATTCAGGTTAAGAGAGTCGGTACATTACAGATCAAGCCACTGGTGTAAAAAATGAAATGTAAGGAAAAGCACACACTGTCAAGAATAACTTGCCAACGCACAAGGAGTTGCTGGAGAGGAGATCGTCGGAGCGCCGAGGAGCAGGAGCCGCAGAACTAAAGGCAAAAGAAAAAAAACATCAAGTTAACAAGATATTGGACTTGCACGATCGATTCGCTTGACTTTCTTTAGTTATTAAATTTTTAAATAAGCTAAGAAAAGAAACCAATGAATTCATTCATGAGAATACATCAGGGATACATCTCAGCCCCACTACTCCAATATTAAGAAAATTCGTTCAGCCACAGAAATGCAATGCTACTTATACACTTACAGCGTGTATCATATTCGAGTTAACTCCCTGCTTTGAAAACTGTCGTTAAAAGTTTCAGTATCTGCGACTTGAGAGTTTCCCTATCTCTATTCAACAAAAACACAACGAAACGAAAATTAACTTAGTATAAACCCTTGCTGGTGTTAAAATGCAGGGAAGTAGGTCTTGTCTTACGGAGTTACACAAATACAAATGGTATAGCGAAAGGTAGCATTACTTACCCTGGGGGAAAAACAACTTTCATGACTGCAGGCGCGTTCTTGAAATCCTTTGTCACCTGGAGAAATACAATAAAACACGAATCAGTCAATTCAATATTTTCAAAATTGTGTAATTTCGGAGCGGAAAGCTTTATTACACCTCGAATCCGCAAAGAAGAGATCCAACAGAAACTGACTTTATAAAGCAAATGTTTGAAGCTAAACTACAGCACTAGAGACATAATTACATAAATACATAATTAAAATAATTATATGAGAGATAGTATATTACCGATCAAGCCACTGGAGTCCAATATGAAATGTAAGGAAAAGCACACACTGTC